CTGCTCTGCTGCTGCTGCTCTGCTTCCTGCTGCTGGAGCCGAAGCGCACGTGGGCCGCCGGGGCCTCCAGTTGGGGCCCCCCAAGACCAACGCGGCTTCGGGGGCGAGACGGACCCTTCGGCGGGGCCCCCTGAGAGGGGCCCCCTGCGGGGGGCCCCCCTCCCCGCTTGGCGGCCCCAGGGGCCCCAGGGGGGGCCCGCAGTGGGGGCCCCTGGGTGGGGTCGTTAAGTTTGAAATGGACTACAGCTTGTGCGCCGTATATTTTATTTATGCCGCACCCTTGGGGGCCCCCCCCTTTTGTCAAGGAGGGGCCCCCAACGGGGGGGCCCCCGGGGGCGCCCCCGGGGGAAAGGGTCACGGACGTCTTGCATGCAGATATGGGGGCCCCCTGCATGCACAAAGGCGGGCCCCCAACTCCCCGCCAAAGGGACTCTTCGGGGGGCCTCTGTGTGACAAGTGGAGACAGCGTCTGTGCAGCTAGCAGTCCTGCTCCTGCTGCTGCTGCTGCTGCCGTGCTTTGTTGCTGCCGCTGCAGCAACATGCGCTGCTGCTGCGCTGCACAGCAGCAGCAACAGCAACAGCAGCAACAGCAACAGCAGCAGCAGCAGTAACAACAGCTGCAACGCCGAACGTCATTTATCTTGGTTACGTCTATACGGTTCTTCCATGTCTAGGGTCTCGGGTTTACGGTGAAACAGACAACCAGCCTAGAAAACCCTAAACCCTAAAATGGGGTCAAAGGAATTTGATATACTTTTATGACAAGGGTTTAGGGCTTAGGGTTTTAAAATAAGGGCGTCTCCTTCCAGGTTGACGGTTGCCCTTCTTATTGGCTCGAGCTGCCGCTGCTGCTGCTGCTGCTGCTGCAGCAGCTTGTGGAGCTCTGCTGCTACTGCTGCGCAACCAAGCCCAAAACGCGGAGATGCCGCTGCAGCACAACAGCAACAGTAATAGCAGCTGGACTGTGCAAGGGTTTAGGGTTTAGGGTTTAGGGCTTAGGGCTTACCTATTACAGGTATGTGGGGGAAGAAATGCTGCATGCGGTGATGAAGAGAATCTGCTGCCAGCAGCGGCTGATGCTCCAACGCGTCGCACTTTGTTACCACCACCTGCAGCAGCAGCAGCAGTTGCAGCAGCAGCAGCAGCAGTGGAGCCAACACGCGCGGCAGCAGCACCGCGAATCTGCCTTGGATGGTCTAGGGTCTTTTAGGGCTTAGGGTTTATTAGGGTTTAGGGTTTACGAGCTCCTTTTTCCTGTCAAAGTGTTTATCATAAATTCTTATTTCTCTTCGCAGCCGCAAAAATTGACAGAAAACATCTGGAGAATATTCTCCATACACCTGAAGGAGCCGGCTCTCCTCTAGCTGCTGCTGCTGCTGTTGCTGCTCTTGGTGCTGCTGCTCTTGCTGCTGCTGTTGCTGCTCGCCGTCCTGCTGCTGCAAAGATGGGCTCGGCGCGGTGCTGCTTCGCGTGGCGCTGCTGCCGTCTTCGAGTTGCTGCTGCTGCTGCAGAAGGCGCTGCTGAGACTGCAGCAAGCCAATCTGCTGCTGCTGCTGCAGCAGCAACCGGGGGTCTTGCTGCTGCCGCTGCTGCGTGGGATCGACGACATATAAGAAGACACGCGATCGGTAGTAGTGCCGCAGAATGCGCAGACCCAGCCTCTTGTCCTGCGCCTCGCAAACCCTAAACCCTAAACCCTAAACCCTAATCCCGAAAGGCTTGAAAACTGTCTCCCTGTGTAACTTGTTCTCTTTACGTCGCTGGCGCGTGCCCTCCGGTCCTGCCCAGCTCTCAGGGCCTAGCGCTTAGGGTTTATTAGGGTTTAGGGTTTATTAGGGTTTAGGGTTTATTAGGGTTTAGGGTTTGTACTTTGTGGGCTCCTGGGAAAAGTGCAGGAGGGTCTAGCAGCAAAGCCTTCTCTCCAGAAGCCCAAAGCAAAGAAGCCACAAAAGGCCTTCGCGTGCGGAAACCCCCGGGGCCTATTCGAGACTGGTAGCTGCACTCCAAACCCTAAACCCTAAACCCTAAACCCTAGGCGGCGCTCTCGCGACGCAGCTCTAGCGATCCGAAAGGAAAGTGCTGCTTCATGCGCTGCATTGAGTGGGACACAACCCTCTCGCTCCCCGTAAACCCTAAACCCTAAACCCTAAACCCTAAACCCTAAACCCTAGACGTACTCAGTCAAGGCAGAGACAAGGGAAGTTTTCCCTGCTGCGCTTTCCCCCACAACCCCGACGTCATTCACGAGCCGCAGTTCCAGTTCGAGGTGCACCTTCTCTCCAGCCTAAACCCTAAACCCCAAACCCTAAACCCTAAACCCTAAACCCCAAACCCCAAACCTTAAACCCTAAGCCCCCTCCCAACCAAATGATCTACACCCTTCCTTTTCGTTTTCTGAAAAGCCCATGTGCGGTGCTGCCAGCAACAGCAACAGTTACGCCGCCTACACGCCAGGGGTAAGGGTTTAAGGTTTAGGGTTTAGGGTTTAGGGTTTAGGGTTTGACCTCTGGGGCCCTCCTCTTTTTCTGCTGCTTCAAACTTGGCGGTGCTATTCCCCCACGGCCGCCAGCAGCTACCAGCAGAGACTGGCCCTCCTCCAGCAGCTGCTGCCTGAGCGCACCAAACCCTAAACCCTGAACCCTAAACCCTAAACCCTAAACCCTAAATCCCTGGGCTCACGCCCGGCAGAGGTCTAAACCCTAAACCCTGCAGAGCCCTAGGCTGGAAGCACTCCATAAAGACAGCGCGAGGGTTCAGCGTTTGACAGCCTGCGTACGCGCTAGGGTTTAGGGCCTAGGGTTTAGGGTTTAGGGTTTACCAGAATACAGAGGCCCTGATAGCTCTGCCGCTGCTGCTTTTCTGCCCCGTCAGAATTCTCTTGCGCACGATCGTGCCCGGGGGCAGCTGCAGGCAGTCCAAACCCTAAACCCTAAACCCTAAACCCTAAACCCTAGCAAAACCTGAGTCTTAAAGCCGACAGGCCCCAGGCGACAAGGAGTCCAGAAATCGCACATAAGAGGGTTTAGGGTCTAGGGTTTAGGGTTTGGGACCTTGACAATTGTGTCGGGCGCATGCAAACCCCTGCTGGTTTGCTGCCCGTCGCCTCCTGCTGCTGCAGCAATTTGCTGCTGCACAGTGTACAGACACCCCACTGTGCTGCTGCAGCGCAGCAGCACAGAGCCGCCGTGGCCGCCGTAGCCAGGGCCCTTGCCCAGCGCCCGCGACCTGCACAAACCCTAAACCCTAAACCCTAAACCCTAAACCCTAAACCCTAAACCCTTAACCCAAACCCTAAACCCTCAACCCTGATTTGTGATTTCTTAGGTTAAGCACTGAACCCGAAGCTTTGAACCCTAGCCCTGAAGTCGAAACCCTTACATGGAGCCCGAAACCCTAAACCCTAAACCCTAAACCCTAAACCTTAGGCTCTAGTTCCTGAACCCTTAACATTGTTTGCCAAACCCT